CCGGGCTGCTGCTGCGGCGGGCCTTTGCTGCTGCTGCAGCAGACAGCAGCAGCAGCAGCAGCGGCAGCAAAGAGCAGCAGCAACCCAAGACTGCTCTCCCCAACTTCATCATTGACACTGCAGCAAACCTCTGCCCTGCCCCCGCATGCAACGGCGACGACTCACAGCAGCAGCAGCAGCAGCAGCGGTGAGAGCAGCAGCAGCAGCGGCAGCAGTGAGAGCAGCAGCAGCTCTGTCTGCAGCTGCAGCAGCAGCAAACCTGCATGCCTTTTCGAAACAAATAAAACTTTGAGGGCAAAACTGAAATGGTCTTTGCTGCGGTGTATATACACCAGGCGCACATACACCGCAAAGCTGAGGTGTACATACACCTGCAGGACCTGTTGCTGCTGCTGCTGCAGCTGCTGCAGCAGCAGCGAAAGGTTTGCCTCGCGGCGCGTGGGCGTGAGGGTTTGGGGCTTACGCGTCGCTGTTGTCTCGAAATTTTAAAACTATTCGCTGGTCTAGGGTTTAGGGTTTAGCGGGGCCCGCAGCCGCGTCCCCGGCTTGCAGCTCCCTCCGCCTCGAGGGTTTCGTCTAGAGTTTAGGGTTTTAGGGTTTAGGGTTTGCGTTTTAGGGGATGAAAAGAACGGCGGAGGCTCTCGCGCGGGGTGTTTGGAGGGCCTCCGCCGTTCTGTCTGGAGGCGCCTAGGGTTTAGGGTTTAGGGTTTAGTTGTAGCCCACATTCGCTGGTGCCAGCTCGGAAGCCCGCAGGCCTGCCGCGCTCGAGGGTTTAGGATTTAGGGTTTGTGGAGAGCTAGGCGGTGGGCGGGGAGCGCGCGGGGCCAGCTAGGGTTTAGGGTTTAGGGTTTTGCTGGAACTGGATGTTGTAGCTGCCGGTCTGAGGGTTTTGTTCAACTTTGAAGTTGTCGAGAGATAATCCAACTTTTCCCAAAACGAAGTTTCCCAAATCTTTTAATTTTGAAATCATTTCTTCTTTTTCTTTTTCGAACTGCTGCTCGCTCTCCCGCTTCACGCGACGCAGCTCCGACGCGTAGCTCTCCCTGCGCAAACCCTAAACCCTAAACCCTAAACCCTAAGCCCTGAACCCGAGACCCTAAACCCTGCACCCTGGACCCTGAACCCTAAACCCTGGACCCTACACCCTGGAGCCTAAACCCTGAAACCTGAACCCTGGAACCTAAGCCCTGAACTCTAGACCCTAAACACTAATCGCTGAACCCTAAACCCTAAACCCTGAACCCTAAACACTAAACCCTAAACCCTGAAGCCTAGACCGCAGCGGACGGGGTTGCTGGCGAACATATGGGGGAGGGCAGCAACGCTGGAAGCAGAGACTTGGGACGTCAGGGGCTGCCTAGGGTTTAGGGACTAGGGTTAAGGGTTTAGGGTTTGGGGACTAGGGTTTAGGGTTTACGCTAGTTTGGGGTCCAGCTCGATGGCCTTGTTTAAATCGCTGAGGGCTTCATGCCACTTCTTCTTCCCCTCATAGCCCCGGAAGCGCCGCAAGTAACCCTACACACACAAACCCTAAACCCCAAACCCTAAACCCTAAGCCCTAAACCCTAAACCCTAGCACTGCGGCGCTGCGGCTCTACTTGCTGCAGCAGTCTGCTGCTGTACTTTCTGCCGACTCGTGGATGCCGCGGGTTTCGAAGCCGCGGCCTGAGTCTGGAAATTAGGGTTTAGGGTTTAGGGTTTAGGGTTTACCTTTGCGTAGTTAGGGTTTGCGCGGATGGCGTCTGTGCTGTCCGCGACGGCCAAGTCAAACGCCCCGTAGTGCAGATGGCACAAAGCCCTGCAGCAGCCGCAGCAGCAGCAGCAGCAGCAGCAAAGAGCAGCAAGGGATGTAACTAGCAGCAGAAGCAAACGGGGGGCAACAAAAGCAAATCCGTGCGCAGCAGCAGTAGCAGCAGCAAACAGCAGCAAGCTAGACAATGTGCAGCAGAAACAAAATGAGGGAAACAGGAGCAAACTCATGCGCAGCAGCAGCAGCAGCTCCAGCAGCAGCAACTCCAGCAACAGCAGCAGCAGCAACTCCAGCAGCAGCAGCAGCAGCAGCTTGCCTGTTGCTCTTGAGAACTGCATGCATCTCGTCCAGCTGCTGCACCTGCTGCAGCAGCTGCCGGTACTGCAGCAAATCTTTCTCTGGCAGCAAATGAGCAGCAGGGTGCTCCCGCGGGTCTTGCTCCTGCTGCTGCTCCCCTTGCTGCTGCTGCTGCTGCTGCTGCTGTTCCTCTTGCTGCTGCTGTTCTTTCTCGCCCTTTTCTTCCCCCGCCTCCTGCCGCCCCTGCTCCCCCTCGCACTGCTGCTGCTGCTGCTGCTGCTGCAGCTGCTCCGCGCGGATTTCGAGGGCGTCTAGCTGGGCCTCGACTTCTTCAGTTTCTTTTTCAAGTTTGTTAATTGCTGCTGCATACAACTGCAGCGCAGCAGACACTTGGCCTCTTTTGAATTCACAATTTCCCCTTTCTTTCAGTTCTGCTGCTGTCAGCTGCTCATCTGCTTCCTCGCCGTCCAGCTCCTCGAACCGCGGCGCTGCTGCTGCTGCTGCTGCTGCTGCTGCTGGGTCCGCGGCTGCT